AACACTCAGTCCAGCATGTACAATATAACAGACAGCATATGTATCGATCCGCTGGCTTGATAAGGACCCCGCTAACTGTACGCCACTGCTGGTCCACCCTTGGACCACCCAGCTCACTGACCTCATACAAGCTCTAACTAGTTTTTTACGTCACCAAACAGAAATGCACACAGTCTTCTATTATAGAGAGAGAAAAAATAATGACTGGGCTTGATATAAAATGATTTTATAGAAAATGTTGTTGCTAAAAGTTAGTAGTTAAGTAAGTAATTTTAATCTAGCACAGTATAACTAAAGAAAAAGAAGGAAGGAAAAATAATTAAATTGGACTGTGAGTGGAAAATGAGCGATGATCAGTGGAATTTTGTCTATTACTCTGCTTAACCACCAGTAGACCGCCCAGAAAACGCTCAGCAAAACGCCACTGGACGCCAGCTTTGCCATCAGTGGGTAGACAGTGGTCCACTATCCTCTTGCTATCAGGAATAAACCAAACAGATTCTGCATTCTTTAATATTTTAATATTCTGTGTAGTTTTGTACACTGTGTTTGATATACTCTGTTATGTAGGTCCATGTGCTTAGAGAATCAGTTGGACGCTACTGGCTCAGTTTGCTCAACAGCAGAACCCATAGAATTACATACCGATATGCCGCGTTGGGTCCAGCGAGGCACGTCATCGGAGCCGCCATTTTGGGGCGGTCAGCATCACTGCTGGACCGCATTCAGTACCATTACAGAGCAGCAGTTTAAGAAAGATACTGTCCCAAATTACACTATTTCGAGAATATTGCATTCAGAAAGTGGGATAGGATTATATAACATTTGTGTGATGCATATTGTTTGTGTGATGTTTATGTGTAGATATGGCCATGTGGTTGGTGAGGCACAGAGAACCTGTTGATGTGAGTTTTTTTTCCTGCGGTTTTATATTAAGCTTATTTTATTTAATAGTCTATTCAGGGGATCTTAACTTTATGTAGTAGTTATTTATTTACAATTATGGTTAATGCTTTGTAGCGGTAAGTTATAGCATTCCTTAATTCATGTAGTCAAGTCAAATCAAGAGGCTTTTATTGTCATTCCATCTATGTACAAGTACACAGTGGAGTGAAATTACGTTCCTCCAGGAACAAGGTGCAACATGAAACAAAAGAGTACAAAGTGCAAACGTGCAGACATAAGTGTGCAAACAAAAATTTAAGCTAGAAACAATACAATAAATACGATAAATTAAACAGACACAGTAAACAGACAGGACAGTGCAGCACTGACACAGCACACATTCTGGACATGAGGTAGGGTTGTGGAATAAGGTGCAGGCATATTTAACATATTTAACATGCTGTGATCTGTGAGTTAAGCAGTCAGATAACATACATAAACACAGCAGTTACTGAGGTAGTAAAACAGTGTAAACACAGTATTAACAGCAATGTTCCAGATAGTGCAAGATATTCGTAATAGATTACGAACCTTCTTACACGAACAAGTTATTTGTCAGTTTCTTGTTCAAATTTTTCCGTTCTACCTTAAATGGTGCATCAGCCAGTATCTTCAAATTTTCCCGTGCCACCCTAAATGGTGCAGCTTCAGGCACCAGAAAGTGACTGCTGCACCATTTAAGGTGGAATGGAAAACTTGAACAACAAACCAGCGAATATGAAGCCAACTTTTGCTTTGTCCTTCTTACTGTGTTTTGTATGTATTAAGATTAGAAGTGATTCACACATTGATGGATTTGCTGATGTGTGTGAGATTGTGTTTCTACTTGCTCTAGAGCTCACGCTAAACTCGGTTTTTAATGTCAGGTGCAGACTGAATACTTTCCTGCTGGTCCGGACGGCTAATTAGCATGATCAGTTATTAAAGAAATAAAAGCTACCGAGAGCCGTCCGTGCAGCCTAGAATAATCTATGTCTGAGGATTATGACAAAACAAATTTGGTGAACATTGGTTGAGTAATAAGGAAGTTGTTGATTTTATCCTGAGACTCATCGTCTCTCAATACAAGTGAATTTGTTCACAAGCGGATCTTGACTGCTCCAACATGGTGGATGCGCAGATGTATCTCCTCAGATAGAGAACAACAGACAACGTGGCATCTACATATGTATATCTGGCAGAACCGCTCAGGTACTAAAACTCATGGAAAAACTTTACATCAACTTCAAATTGTCAGTTGATGCAGCGTGACTGTTATAAGACAGTAATGAACTCAGTACAGGTTGCTGAGTCAGTTAAATCATGAGAAAGTTGGGCCAACTGTGCTTTGTAAATTTGCCTAACATTTACCCAGTTTGATTTTTCACAGTGTGCAGTTGTAATATGCCACCCTTCAGTAAAGTGTTACCAATCAGGCTAATATGTTAGTTATGTAGTTATGAGAGTGAGGGACATAGGCCCTTGCAATTTAAGGGGTTAACATAACAATCATGCTTGTTGTATTTAAACTATTGTCATAATACTTTTATTTCATTTTACAGTTTTGGTTGCAAACAAGATGGGTTCAATAATTGAAATATCCAATGGAATATTGTCCAAACAGGACTTATAGGAAAGTCAAAATAGGTGAAAAAAACAGAAGTTTCCAAAACTGGAAAAATGATCAAAAGATGAAGAGAAAATGGGACTCCTAACAACCATGCCAGACCTGGTAGACCACCAACACCATTCCCATCAGATAAACAGCACTTAAAGCTTTCATCTTTGAGAGATACAATGGTGATTCCATGATTTGTAAATTATATCCACAAATATGTATGTAAAGTAAAAATAAAGGACATTTGAAACAAAGTTAAAGTGAGTTTTACAACAACTTGAGTATGTTTCAGATAAATAACCTAACATCTACAGCACTCAGAAAACCCACTATAAGCACACTGTGACATGTAATCATTAAATACTTCAAAATCATATTATTTTTGTGCTAATATGTGCACACATCTAACATCTCATGCTTACAAGACTCAGCTTTATGAAATATCTGGAATATTCCAAAATCCACATATTCAGCAGAAAGTTGTTTGTTTCCTGAAGATCATGGGAAGACAAAAAGAAAGTTTCTCATTGTTTTTTCTTCTTCATTTTCAGTGATACTGTGACATTGACCAGCCTACTATAGGAAAATACACTCAGTCCAGCATGTACAATATCTCAGATAGCAAGCATGTATCGGTCCGCTGGCTTGATAAGCACCCCGTTTACCACTGCTGGTCCACCCTTGGACCACCCAGCTCACTGACCTGCATACAAGCTCTAACTAGTTTTTTACGTTACCAAACAGATTGAAATGCACACAATCTTCTATTATAGAGAATAAACTTAGACAAATATTACAAACAACTGAGAGAGAAAAAATAATGACTAGGCTTGATATAAAATGGTTTTATAGAAAATGTTGTTGCTGACAGTTGTAAATTAGTAGTTAAGTAAGTAATTTTAATCTAGCACAGTATAACTAAAGAAAAAGAAGGAAGGAAAAATAATTAAATTGGACTATGAGTGGAAAATGAGCGAAGATTAGTGGAATTTTGTCTATTACACTGCTTAATCACCAGTAGACCGCCCAGAAAACACTCAGCAAAACGCCACTGGACCGCCAGCTTTGCCATCAGTGGGCAGACAGTGGTCCACTATCCTCTTGCTATCAGGAATAAACTTTAAAAGTTACTTTAAAAGCAAAATGCTATGACCCAAATTATAGACTGGAAATGAATCATTGATGAAAACAAATAATAATTGTAAGTTAATGATTATAATGTCATTTATATTCTCTTGTCAATAGCACAAATGCCTGTTAAACACATTCTGTAGATAACCACATTCTATGCTGTGAAACTCAACCCTGTTACTCATATAAGACACTGTGGAAAATGAGATATTGTCCCTGAGGTGGATTCATTTTTGGGTGGCACTTCATTCAGAGTGGACCTTTTAGATTAAACAAACACTCAACAGACTCTCAGTAACATGTCAAAAACATATGAGGGTCAGGATTAGGTTTTGGGTTAAGATTAAGGTCAGGGTTAGGATTAGGGCCAGGGTGAGGGTTAGGTTTTGGGTAAGGTTGGGTAAGGTTAGGTTTTGCCTAATGGAAGCAACATATTAACAAACATCTTCTTAATGTAAGTAATGTATCAACAGAACATCTACAAGATATTTACTTCAGTGTATTCAGATGCTTCACTACTGCTACTTCACTGTTATGTTGTTGATGTGTTACTGATAATCTGTTAAGAATTTATTAAGCATCTACAAAGGATCACTCCAAATAAAGTGTTACCCATTTTTGAATGGTTAAATAGATTAAATAATGAAAAAAAAGATTTACAATAAGAAAATAAATAAATAAATAAATAAACAAATCATGCTCCACTCTTACTTCAAATCCTAATCCACTGAGTAAGCATTTATGAATGGATAAGTCTAAATGCAACCAACTTCTTAGACTAAACTTTGGAGGTGTAGAAAAATATCCCTGCAGATTTCTTTGAGAAACTGAAAGCAAGTCTACCAAAAATAATGGAAACTGCAATAAAGGTAAAAAGTGAAACAATAAATACTAACAAATTTAATGTGATATTTAGTGAGGCTTCTGAGTAATTTTCTGTGAAGTATATGTTCCTGACACTGAAAAATAACTTAAATGTATTTAATGCCCATTGTTTGGTCTGCGATTTTTTTCTTTGCTTAGACTAGTAAAGCAATTTACAATTACAAGTATGTACCTTTCCTTAATTGCATTGTTTTCTACTCCCAAAACATGTTTTATTTACTAGGACTTGGATGAAATACATGGACTGGCAACCAGGATGTATCCTGCCTTCTGCTCAGTGACCGCTGGGATAGGCTCCAGCATCCCCCCCTTGACCCTGAAGGATAAGCGGTTTAGAAAATATGTGTGTGAGCGTGTGTGTGTGTGAATAAGATACTCTTAGTTACATTCAGTGAGTTTCAAGCATGTTGATTATTTTTACTATTATTTGCATTTGATAAATGAAAGCATCCCAATTATTAATTAATTATTAATTAATTTAATTAATTAATTTTGGACACAAAAAATGAAATTAACATATTCATTAAGGGGTTAAGATGACATATTAAATAAAAAAAAATTACAAACATTCATTGAATTACCTCTCTGTCAGCAATGTGAAGTGGTGATATTAAGTTCACCTGATCTGAAGGTACATTAGATCCACAATAGAGTCAATGGCAGGTGTACTTGTTTGTGTAATTAGTTTCTGTACAGTTACATGCTTTATTTATTATTAACCAATTTCTTTACAATCTTTTTTCTTTTACTGAGGTTAAATTTAGGATTAGAACATTCTTATTATATATAGGTACTTAAATATACAGTATATAATACATAGTGGACATATGCATGACCCCACATCATGACAATGTATAAAAACATGAAACAAAAACTTGTGTTTTTGTACATGTTTACATGTAAGTAGCAGTCCTTAAAAAAACCTAATATTTACACAAGTTAAAGTTTCAGAGTCTTTAAGCTCAGCTCATGAGCACATAGTCATCAGTCCCGTCATCGTTGTTCTCTGATTTGTTTGGCACATCACTGGGGACTCGTACTACGGCGTAATCACAGTCACTGCCAGAATCTCTTAATGGCACTGGTGCCTGCTTTTCCCCATGGTCAATGGTGGCATAGAGAACGTCCTCCTTAGGTGACTCCTGCACAAAAGAAATGAAACCATGTAAGAAAATAAGGGACTTTACTGGACAATGATGTGACCACAGCCAGCAGATTTGTAGGCTTGTGTTACACTGCCAAGAATCCTAGAGATCTGCCTGCCTCTAAAGTTTAATGATAACCCCAAGTTACAACTTCTGATCTCTACATAAAAGAGTCTATTTTTACTTTTCTAATTTCACTTTTTTCACTGATTTCACAATTTTGTCATGTTTTTTCCTTTAAAATGTAGTCTCATGTACATCTGTGTTTTTATATTTTAACAGGTCTTTGCTAATGAGATCAGGTTTGTTAAAATGTGTATGGAAAGTTAAGTCTCCAGGAAAACGGTTGTTGACCAGAGAACTACATGGGTATTTTCTTGCATTCTTGTGGACTCACTTAAAGTCATCTTCCACTCAAGTTCATCCAATTTGTTCCTTAAGAGCAACTGGAGCCATTTAGAGCAACTGGGAAGAAAAAGGAAAAACTCCCTAAGAGCATGAGGAAGAACCACTAAGAGGAACTGGGAATAAAAAGGAAAAACTCCTAAAGAGTATGAGGAAGAACCACTAAGAGGAACTGGGAATAAAAAGGAAAACTCCCAAAGAGCAAGAGGAAGAACCACTAAGAGGAACTGGGAACAGAAAGGAAAAACTTCCTAAGAGCATGAGGAAGAACCACTAAGAGGAACTGGGAACAGAAAGGAAAAACTTCCTAAGAGCATGAGGAAGAACCACTAAGAGGAACTGGGAACAGAAAGGAAAAACTTCCTAAGAGCATGAGGAAGAACCACTAAGAGGAACTGGGAACAGAAAGGAAAAACTCCCTAAGAGCAACAGGAAGAGCCATTTAGAGCAACTGGGAATAAAAAGGAAAAACTCCCTGAGAGCATGAGGAAGAACCACTGAGAGGAACTGGGAATAAAAAGGAAAAAGTCCTGAAGAGCATGAGGAAGAACCACTAAGAGGAACTGGGAACAGAAAGGAAAAACCACTAAGAGCAACAGGAAGAGTCATTAAGAGCAACTGGCACTGAAAAGGAAAAACTCCCCAAGAGCATGAGGAAGAACCAGTAAGAGGAACCAAGACTGAAAAGGACAAAATCTCAAAGACCACAAGAAAGAAACACTGAGAGGAACCAAGGCTCAAAGGGAAAAAACTACCTATGAACATGAGGAAGAAGAACTGAGAGGAACCCAGACTCAAAATTGGATTAAAAAATGAAATCATTTAGTAAGTCAGTGCTAACGATCAGTGCAGAGCTCATTTCTAAAGTTTTTTTTAGCTTGATAAAAGTCCATCATACTGCTTTAAAAAAAAAAAAAAATGACATAAAATACCATCCAAAAATCAAATGTAGTAGGTCAGCCAAGGCATGTTTGGAGTCCAAATTTTGCTTCTTTAGTTTAGAACTGCAGCAGTGAGGCTAACAATGCTAACAAACACTAGAGGTCAACAATCACCCAGATAGCCCAAATCATTTCTATAAAAATATATCACTAAAACTTCTCTCGACACACTTGAACCACATCCAGGTCTACAATAATTGGGCACAGACATGTCAATGTGGTTACTTTAGACATCATGGTCTGTGTTCAAAAACCACCTCAGGGAGTATGAGTGCTCTGTCATTGGCCATCATAAATATGGAGGAATTTGATCCAAGATCAGTCCTATTTTGTGAATACCAGCCCTGGTGCTGTCTGAAATGGTGTTGTTCATTTGTGTATTTCACAGTCATATTGTGCTCTAAACCATATCGACAAGTCTGCGTGTTCTTAATAAAGACCTGTGTGTGGTTTGAGTGGGCAGAGAGAAGTTTTGGTAATGTGTTTTTAGACACAATTTGGGCTAACTAATAAAGTAAAATTCTGACTTGTCTTGGCTGATCTACTATAAATGAAGTGGAAATTTGAGTAAAGTTGATTTTACGCAGACACTTCCTTGGTAGATTACACATAAACTGGAAGACTGACTAATGTTTTCTTGTCACCTGCTTTACCCTTCCTGTTGGTCAGTTTCCTTTAGCTAAACCAATGAATGCTGATAGGCTGATATGCATCAAATATCGATCTCCTTTACCTTTACATAAAATACTGCTGTATGTCAGTTTCTTTGCCGCGCCTCTGATTTGAGGTCATTGCACCCAAAAGGCTTGCTTTTCTTTCGGTCACAGGTTTTTATCTTCATTTCATGTTTTCAAAAATAGAAAAGCAACATCTCACACTTGATCTTATCTGTATTTAGCAGCAGGTTGTGCGTGGTGGCTTCTGCACGCAAGGAGCATGAGATCAGTGCTACCTTTTAGATAGTCATAATTTACATCAGGCTTATTTGTTCTGGCATTCATGCGTAAACAGCCTGGGACGGACGAAGAAGTTCTTTTGTTCTAAAAACATATTTCATATGCCTCATTTCACCTTAAAACCAAACTGCTTCAGCACAGACCCAAGATAACAATTCTGACTTCTCTATTTCAGTAGTTTTGGAAGCTACTGAATGTTAATGGCTTTTATTTATCAAAGTCGCATCAAAAAGAGTGCAGACTTGACCAGGTTTAACCCTCTGGGTCTGAAATTTGCCTTTAAAGGCACTTGCATGTAACATGATAGTCATAATAGTTTTCATATCAAAATGCTCTGTTATCTTCTTTGCTACTTTGCAAAACTCCTACAGCAACTTTAGCACGTGTAAACTTTTTCCACTCCATGTCACACATGTCTCCAATGTCCACTGAATGAAGAATGACGGTTTCTGACATGATGCGTAAGTCTTTAGTGGTTTCTTGTGTCCATAGGTCAGTTTCACACAAAAAGTGGATGGACACATGAATCCAGCAATTGCACACATTGAGAGGCAGCCTCATAACTCTGGAAGTGAGCTACATACAATCTTGTGATAAGATGGAATGGGAAAGGTGACTCTCCAGATTCAGGTAATGTTCCATATTTTCTGTGCCGTATTATAGAAAAGATAAAGAAACATATGTAGAAACATCGAGCTTGATGCGTAGATGAGTTTGTGGACCCCAGAGATTCGAGCGCAAGTGAGAAATCAGCTTCAGTGCGTGAAATCAAGCACCAGCCTACCAGCACCTCGTTTACATATCATTTACATGAAGCAAACCATAATTCAGATGTAGGAAGCCAGAAAATAGTGCATCATTGCAGTGTTTAAGATGCTTCTGCGCTAGTGATGGTCATTAAATTATTATGCTCAGATTTACACACACTCTTACCAGACACAAGTATGATCATACAGATATGCCAAAAATGAAACTGATAAATAAACAAACTGTCGGTGAAATTTGCGTGTGCTCATTTTACCAGTAGTTTTGACCATACATTTTGACAAATGAGGCCCACTGTGTATTGTAAAATGGTTCTTGGCTTGCATCTGCTATTCTAGTATTGGCGTTATATGTGAGGGTTCTTTAACATTTAAATAGGCTTCTCACACTCACAAACATCTCATTTATAAAGGGATATAAAAGGGAACCAAAGGTGGTTCTTCAATGACATCACTCTCCCTTTTTGAGTCATTAAAGTGTAAACAAGGTCATTCAGAGTGGTTTGCAGTGAAAAGTGGTTTGCTTTATTCTACAGAAACTTGTCAAGTCAGAAATGTGTACCAGAGTTGTCTACAAACCAGATATCTGAAGTGTTCAATGCCCTTTAATGACATCACAGGAGGTTAGTGCATGAAATGATTATGGATACACTGCCTGATGCCTGAAGCATTGTTATACCATTGTTTTTAGATTAAATTTGGACCTAAAACATTTATTTTTAAATTTAATTTAATTTTCATGGTGAAAGTACATGCAAGGGGATGTAAGGCAGAAAAGTCACCAAAGAAAACATATTTTTAGATTTTACCTTTGTCAACATTACATACTAAAACTCAGGAGACAGGTATAGATTCACTGGATGTTTAGGAAAGTAAAAAAAACACTTTTCTTTACATATAGATATTAAATTATATATAGATATAGACATTATGACCCCTGGTTCCAGTCACCACCACTGTAAGGAAAGAGGAGTCAGTAAGATGAATCTACAGTGAACCATTTCACATCAAACCACTGTGAATGACGTTGGTTATATCTCAATGACTGAATTAAGCAGAAAAGTTTTAACAATCGGTGAAATTCCCCTGGAAGTTTACGCCATATGGTGGGTCGCTATTCTAAATCTTTAGATTCATTCAGCTTCAAAGCTGACAGTAATGTTACAACATTTCCTGCAGGTTTCTGATGATTCTTATCATCACAGATCTTGCCAGAGGATGTCACACAGATATTTTTCGATGTTACTCATTTTCTAGTCTTTGGTAACAAGCCTAAGAGATGCTCAGCATAACTGCTTCCTAATATAATAATGTCTGTTATACTTTATAGTCCCAAAGGTTCCCCTCGTTTGCTGACTGTTACAGAATCTAAAAAGGCTATTATTATTATGATGATGATGATGATGATTACTATTTTAATTAATATTAACATTAACAACACTACTACTACTACTACTACTAATAATAATAATAATAAAATTTAATTTCATTAAACAGATGCTGTACATGATTCAAAACTCTGACAAAGGATTAGGAGGTGAGTAAGAAAACTTGCTTTGCTGTAAAATAAAGATCATTAATACCAGGGAGAATGTGCCAAACCAAAAGCCTCCCTGAAGAAACCTCACGCTAACTGCCTGTGGTGGGAGGCTCACTGCTCTCAGACTCAACCCTGAATACCACAGCGCAACGGAAAAGGTATGGCTTTCTTTTAAGCAGCTTACACTGACTACAGAATGAAACTAGAAATAGGACACAAAGAAAAATCACAATTCAAGCATTTTGAGCAGGTCCACATGAACAAACCAAAGCAATCATATCCCTCTTCAATTTCTATCATGACTTGTAATGAGCTGCATGAACGTCAACTTCTGCATGAACTGCTAACCTAACCTAACTTTTGTGTAAGAACTGCCAGTACACAGTAGAAAATCAGCAATTTACAAATGTGTGTACACTAAGCTGTACTCAGTGAACAATGATAAATCCTACACATTTTGTACGGCTCTGTTCATGCATGGCCAGGCACAAATTGGCCCCCAAATTATTACATATGATTAACAACTTGCCTTTAAATGTCCTTAGTAGCTATGTATACTGCATTGAAGTGTTAGGTATAAAAATTTACTTCAAAGTACAAATTTTCATCACAACATATAACAAGAATTACATTTTAACATGTAATGAAGTAACTTGTTCAAAAACAACTGGAACATGCAATAATTATTTAATAATACCTATTCAATGATTTCAACATGTCAGTGTATAATTTTTACTTTCACCAACTAAATTTCTTGTAAGAATTCTCCCATTAAAATGAATAATGAAAAGCTATGTGCTTACTGAATTTGTACATGCTAGAGCACAACTACTATAAAATTTGAATGTTGACATGTTAGAATGTAATTTCTTATATTTCACATCTCATTTCTCTTAAGTGTAATAACATTTTACTCATTTACATTGAATTTCTGAGATGAATGAAGTGTGCATTAAGGCTAAATGACCTAAAGCATGCTCCCCACGGTAGTTCATATGTGCCAGAGCAAGGTCCGCTGCTGTCTACATCAGGGGTGTTAAACTCAACCACTAAAAGGCCCATATTTAAAAATCTTCACAAATCCGTGGGCCAGCTGTGTTTTTATTTCTTGATCTGAACTGGCCATTGTTTATTCAAAATATGCCGAAACTGCAACAGCAAAAAAAAAATAAATAAATAAAAAAGGCACTGAATACTTGACCTATTCAAAAATAATTTGAAATAAAACACATCTTCTCTATAGATGTATGCAAAGGTTTGAACACACCTGGTCAAAAGACTTTTGGTGAAGTGAAAACAAGTGAGGTTGTGTTCACTTCATTTCACTTCAAAAATCAACAACATATAAAAATCAACTTTTGCATACAGCTGTGTTTTAAACACCGCGGTCGCCAATCGTTTTGTCAGTTATGTTGAAACGGCTGACAGTAACTGGGAGTTGGTGCATCACACAATCAGCTTACCACAGACAGATTTTTTATCGCTAAGGGTTAGTGCATTCTTCAAATATAGGCACATTCTCATGCATAAGAAAAGTTGGATAAATCACATTCCATCCATAGGAATGTGTGTTTAGTGGATGTTATACCCCCAGTCACCTCAAGGAAGTCTGTAGTTTGATCCCCTGCCTGGGCAACACACCATGCTATACCAATAAGAATCCTCGGGCAAGACTCCTAACTCCTAGCTTCATTTGCCTGCCTCTGTGATGTGATTAAATTCTGAGTTGCTCTGGGTAAGAGCATCTGCCAAATGCATTAATGTATACATGGATGTATACATTGTTGACAAATGAGACCCCAGTTTCTAATGCTACGTTCACATGTCAATGGTAGAATGATGACAGTAAAACAGTTATTCTACTGTTTTTAACAGAGCTGCGATGGACAATTCAGATTCTTTATTGATCCCAAGACGGGTGATTCATTTGCAGTTTACACAGCCAATAACACACAACTTTAAAACTCACAGACAAGGTAGCTATATGCAGGGTTGGGTAATAACGGAATATATGGAATGGCATTAAATAAACAGGATACAAAAAAGTTACTGTAATCTATTGCAGTTACATGAAAAAGAAGATTAAATTCAAAGTGCAAAATCGTCATCTTTCGCCGAAATTCGCAGATTGTAAATATGTTCGCTGTGATAAATATGTCGCATGAGACGTATAGATTAAAAGAGTTTTCAATTCGGGGGAAGGGGGTGGTGCTACTGCCAGGAGAGTTTTCTAAAGAATCCCCCTCAACAAGCAGCACTTCAGCCAATCTATAGAATTTTTATTAAGTATTTTACTTTTATTGGCAGTAAAACTGAGATCTGCAGCATTTTCCTGAAGATATCTGAATCAGGCATTTACTCTGGATTTCCACATCACCAGATTCTACTGCAGTAAACTGATCTGGCAGTAAACTCTATATTCTCGTTTGTTGTTCTGTAAAAAGTTTGACCGGATATAAATCAAACTTTTGATAACCTTAACCTGACAGGTTTCAACTAGCAGCCTGAAATGTGCACAGAGTGCAAAGTCTCATGAGCAAGTAATTTCATTTTCATACAAGTAAATTCTTTTTTCAATAGTTTTAGATTAATTGTTAAAATATTAATCTGTGTGGACGATTATTATTCGTAACTGAGATGATCAGCTCCCTCTTAGTTGAATGTGAAATTAGCATTAATTTTAATTTTATAAACTCGTAGATCACTTTGATTTCTGTTGGCTGCTGAAAGTGCTGAGATTAGGGAGCGTCTACAAATTACCATCATCAAAGTCCAAGCGTGACGCACCAACAGGAAACCTTATGAGCCAGTACAGCCTTTGAGCAGATAGAACACAGTCAGAGTTTTTAGATTGACCTCTGCTTGTGATTATTGTTGATGAGGGGTCTCTATATAAGATTTCTTCCAGATTGATCTTTTGACTTTGAAATGATAAAGAGCAGATTTTTAACAAACAAGGCAAATAAGGAAAAGTCCCAGTATAGTTTTTAACTTCATTGCATTTGAACCTGGATCATTCTATGTCCATTGCTTGTCCTCTTGTCTTTTAGTTTTAGTGTACTGATTTTATTTTCCTGTTAAAATCACTTAATTTTTTAATATCTTGATTTCTGAATGTCAAGGTTTGAGTGCATGTCTAAACTCAAACATATTATATTGTTATATAAATCTGTCATCTTTACGTCTTAAATATTTTCATTTGATGCTCCACTTACATTTGGCTGTTTAGTTAAATGTGGGATCAGTGTCTGTTTCTGTGAAGCCATCTATAATCTATCATTCTGCTTCATAATGCAGTGCAGTTTTTGTTTTTGGCATGTGTATTTAATAATATCTTTAATTAAAGACAAGTGATCAAAAACTAACAGAAAGTAATCAGATTACTTTAATATAGTAATCCTTTGGATTAGGTTACAGTTACTATTTTTAACAGGTAATCCGTAATCTGTGGTGAAATACACTTTTAAAGTAACCCATTGCTGCTGCTTAGTAAAGTGATAGCAAAAGAAATTAAGGACTTGGAGTAGCAGTTCGTTCTCCTAAGGGCCACATTATAATGCCAGCCTGAAGGCATTACAGTGAATTCCCTGGTCAGATTGTCTGATAATTCCTTTTGCTATCTGAGCCACCTGTTTCTCCCAAAGGGAGCACGAGTCTTTCTGCTGGACTCTAATTATCTTCGAGCAAACTTTCACACTGACATTCAGGCTCAGAGAACCTATTAAACCAGCAAATGAATGAGAAAGACAGAAGACTTTCAATGAATTGATACCATTTACATAAAAAGTATCACAAGCACAAAAAGAATTAAGCTTCACTTAATTGATTCTTTGCTGTCCCCTTTTGACAACCAACTCTGTGTTTACATCAAACCTGAGTTAAGAGGTGGACACTGTTCCTAAATACTTATGTTGTGTATCTACAGTTTGAACATCCTCATCTTGTATAATATTAGCTTTTGGTTTATTACTTTTCTGCCTGAAATCAATGATCAGTTCCTTAGTTTGGGATACGTTAAGGTTGAGGAAGTTACCATCATATCATTTAATGGAATCTGGATCTGAATCTGAATTACAAAAATATTCAGATACTTTATGATACCCAAAACTTCCCCCTCACTTTTGATGACTGTTATGGAATCTAAATAAGGCAACAAAGGTCGTTGCTACTGAAATAGCAGAAACAGTGGTGAGATTGTGTGGCGTGTGGAGCTTATTTGAATGGACTCCAGCTCTCTAGATGTCCCATAGTAACCAATATAACTGAGGCAACAGACAGCCCCAGTGCTGTCCAGAGATGCAAAGCAGCTGCTAACAGCAGAGCAGTTCAGCACAGCCAGCTCAGCACTCCACACGCAACCTAATTTATGGGGGTCTTTCCGTTCTCCACTCACACTTTTCCCCAGTTATACTTCTCTCTAAACCCACCCGAGTCAAATGAGCTCAATTTAATAACCTCCTACACACTTTATATTATCAGGCAGCATGTTCTGTAGGTGTTAATTAAACACTGTTATTTTACTGCGCTCCATGAAATACGTCAATACATTTCCATCACGTGACTGTTTCATTTCAGTTACGTATAATACTGACGCATTAATATTTAAGATGCAGCCACAAGTAAAGAAATAAGCCTGAATTAAGAAATACTCATGTTTTCAACTGCTCTACCAAATGTTACATGTTTATATGAAAATGAAATAGATTTTTAGGACCAAATTGAAGGGCATTAGAAATATGTGCATTGCCAAAAAAATGGCTTACTGATATAGCTGTTTAAAAAATTGTCATTTTGTCAAAGTAGAAGTAAATAAAATAAACAAACAAACAAACAAACAAACATAAATAAATTTTTGTCAGTGGTGTTACAGAAATAATAAAAAAAAACAGGACGCTCTTTTTGAACTTCTTCTTGCATCAATAACACAAAGGATGAGAGACTAACTGGTAAATTTTTTTATATTCTGATAAATTTGCCTTCTTCCTGTGTCGCAAAAAAGATCGTGGCAGTGCTGTTACTCATGAAGCATTACGTGATTTAAAAAACTGAAATAGAACAATATGAATGCAATATTTGTAATTTTCTACATACAGCGTGACCTCAAAACTACAGCGGCAGTGGACTGTATGTTAGAAAGATTTCTGTAATTTCAGTTGTGTTACAGCTGCACTGATGCTGTTCAATATAATAGACTTGAATTCACAGTCATAGAATTCACAGAATTCATGTATTTGAACGCAAAGGGAGATTTATCCTCTTTTTGTTTTGTCGTTTGCTGTCCTGTACATTTACACACTCATAAGAATGATCATAACTCCTGAATGAACCTTTCAGAGCCACTCTTTTTGTTCTGTATGTATAATGTAATGTTCTGACTGGACTCACCTGTTCTGTTTCTGCTAGCAGGATCCACAGCATACAGAGAGAGAGAAAGAGAGAGAGAAAAGGAGAGAGAACATTACTTACGGCTGATCTTCTATCAGTGCGGTAGTTATTGTTACAGTAACATTCATGTACACAGTTAGAAATAAAGGTTCTGTGCAGGTACGTTTTTAATATTAAGGTACAATCAATGTAAATGTACATTCAAAGGTACAGCAGTGGTTTTAAGGTCCAATTGTGTACCTCAAATATGTTTTTCCTGGGGGAGAAGTATGTATTTGTACCTTTTCATAACCGAATGTTTTAAAACAGAACAATAAAATAAAAAGCCTGGAGACGAGATGGGGTGTGTGGAGTCAATACAACTTAGAAAATATAATTATGGTACAATTATGTTCCCTGACTAAAGGTACTGAGATGTACCCTGGAGTGTACCACCCCAGTGACAGTTTCATACCTTTTTTCTGAGAGTGTATGTTTGTATTTTAGAAGCAAAAATAAAATCATACATTCAAAACAATGAACTAGTGCCAGTGACTTTGAGTCTACATGTCTTTGTGTTTCGTCACTGACTGAACAAAACCTCATATCTCCAAAATGGTAACTTTTCAGGAGAATTAAAAATGTTAGTAACTTATAATGGAAGTTAATGTATTTGTTTTCCAAGTAAGTTTGTACCATTTCTGTCAGGCCATTAATCATGACATTTTCGCACAGTGTGCAGAAGAGCCGATGTTTTCAAATTATATAAAAAGTTAAAAAATGACGGATTTGTTTTGACAGCAGCGATTTCCGTACAGCCAGCATACAATCTCTCATTTCATCTGTGTTCTTCACTTTTGTTTGGTGTGATGTGCTGTGAGATGCTCAAAATATTACACTGCTTCATGCACCACTAAGGGCTGGAACTTGCACAACTCAGTGACTACAGATGTTTTGGTAAGAGATAATCTGCTGCAGGGAAACCTAAAAATTTAATGCAGAGTCAGGAAGTACAGAGTGAATCTATATCCAGTTTGCTTAAGATGGTGTACAGAGAAACCGCATAGAGTTTCACTTAAATTCAGGCCATAGTTAAAGCTGAGGTCATTCACATGTCTGAAAAGGCTGCCCCTGCATGAGTTGGATGGAGGCCTTAGCCCTCTCAGGGGACACCAAAAAAAAAAAACAACATAGACTTCCACTTTCTACACTATAAAGAAGTAAAATGAAGGAAATAAAGAAATAGAAAGAGTCTTACCGCCTTCTTTAGATTGTTCTTTTCTGAAGAAATGAGATATATTTAGAAAGGCAGGGTTACTGCAATGCAACACAGCTTCAGTATTCAAAAAGACAGAAGTGACAAGTGTTCAGAAATGTCACAATAGAGACTCTATAACACGCTAATTTCAACAAATAACTCACAGTCACTCATACTACTGACTGGCCTACTAACTGTTTGACAATATTAATAAAGAGCTGGCCTCAATTTTTTACGCTTTTTTTAAGTGACTAAGTTAAGCAGTCACCTACCTTCCTCTGTAGCAACTAAGATTTCCCATAATCCGAGTCCTTTTGAGTGTGAATTTGAGGTCTGATGAGGGAGAAGTACAGAGCCAGGCTGCGGTGGAAGACGAGCCAGCGGAACAGTCAGCTCACCTCCTTTCACAACCAGATATCTAAGAGAGAGAGAGAGAGAGAGAGAGAGAGAGAGAGAGAGAGAGAGAGATAGAGAGAGAGAGAGGGCAATCAACAGTGTTTCATTCTGTTTCCTGTGCTCTGTGGTTTGCATGCGTTCTTAAACGCATGTCACTCAAAAAGCATGCAATGACTGTTTTACTGAGAAACGTATATTATAAATAGTTACAACTGCATTTAACAGGAATATGAATTAATAAGTTGGCTTGACAACGAACTATTCTCAGTTTATTGTTCTAGTTTTTTTTTTATCATTTTGACAGGTTGCGGTCTTCAAGGTAGAAAAGGTTTTTTTTGTGTAATGTTTGAAGAAAGGACATTTTTTTCAATAAGTGTGTACATATAAATACATACCCTTTCTAATTATTGAGTTCAGGTGTTTCAGCCACACCCATTGCTAACAGGTGGATAAAATAAAGCACACAGCCTTGTAGTCTTGATAGAAAAACACTGGCATTGCACTGTCATAGGATGCCACCTCTGCCACAAGTCAGTTTCTGTCCGGACAAGTGAAATTTCTGTCCTGCTAGATCTGCCCCTGTCAACTTAAAGTGCTATTATTGGGAAATGGAAGCACCTAGTAACACAAAAGCAGCTTAGACACGAAGTTGTAGACCACACAAACTCACAGAGCGGGGCCGCTGAGTGCTGAAGCACACAGTGCCTATCCTCTGTTGAATCACTCACTAAAGAGTTCCAAATGGCCTCTGGAAAAAACATCAGCAAAAGAACTGCGTGTTAGGAACTTCACAGATGGGTTTCCAAGGCCGAGCAGCTACACACAAGCCTAAGATCAAATTGCACAGCGCCAAGCGTTGGATGGAGTGGTGTAAAGCATGCTGTCACTGGACTCTGGAGAAGTGGAAATGTATTCCATGGAGTGATGAATCACGTTTCTCTGTCTGGCAGTTTGATGGACGAGTCTGGGTTTAGCAAATGCCAGGAGAACGTTACCTGCCTGACTGCACTGTGTCAACTATAAAGTTTGGTGGAGGAGGGCTGATGCTATGGGGTTGCTTTTCAGGGGTTGGCCTAGGCCCCTTAGTTCCAGTGAAGGGAAATCTTAATGCTTCAGCAGACCAAGACATTTTGGACAACTGTAGCTTCCAACTTTGTGGGAACAGTTGGGGAAGGCTCTTTTCTGTTCCAGCATAACTGAGCCCCAGTGCACACAGCAAGGTTCATAAAGGCGTGGAAGGTGTGGAAGAACCTGACTGGCCTGCAAAGAGCCCTGACCTCAGCCCCATCAAACAACCAGGCCCTCTCGTCCAACATCAGTGTCTGACCTCACAAATGCACAAATTTATTTTCACTGAGAACAAAGATCATTTTACATGATTCAAATGTTTCTATTGGTTGCACCTCAATAAACATCAACATAGTTCTTACTCAGGTAATTGAAAGGCAGTATTTACATTTAAATTTATGGCATATATACAATGCTTTCATAAGAGACTCACAAGTGTTCGGTTGTTTACTTAGAGAATGTCTACCAGCTTGTACAAATAGGTCAGAGACCAAAAAAATACCCTTGAGCTTAGACACAGTTGTGTGCGAAGGTTAGACTGCCCTGGTCAGATGATATCTTGTGTTGATTTTGTGAAAAGTGAAAATAAGTTAGCACATCCTCTGCAGAGAACACACCTCTGCACATTTTAACGCACAATTAAAGTACTAAAAACCTAAAATGAGGCCTGTGCAAAAGTTATAGCACATCATATATATTGTGTTTTTTTTTTTTTCCATTATGTAAATAGAGATGTTGCACTTAAATGTTTCACATGCACATAAACATACACATAAATATTTCAGTTTGGTCGCTGTAGAGGATGTGTTAACTTATTTTCACCAGGGGTGAAATTTTTGCATACAACTGTACTGCCAGAAACAATAGTCATAGAAGAGAAAGATACACAATGCTAAAATAAGACATAGGTTATTAATTTATATTGATGCAACATAATTTATTCTTGCCATAGTTGAATCATGTAAATGCAAATTTAAATTTAAATGCATCATTTTTAGCATTGTTCATTAATGTTCAGACGTATCTCTTCTGTGGAGAAATGGTCCCCAGTTGTAGGCTGACTAGTCACAGGCTAACTGATTACCCTACACATGGGATTTTCCTTTAAAACGCATTATTGAGGCCTCAGTCAGTTCCAAAGTCAATCTTCTTTCATATCCAACCACGATTTCCTAATTAACAGTTTACTTTAACCCTTGAGGCTGCTATTCTATCTGAACAGGACTGTTATCACATTTACCAAGCGCATCTGTGCATAGCCAAGTTTAGTGCCATATTTCCATATACAAGCAAACATTAGGCAGGAGGAAGGAATATCTGGATATTATACAACATCGTTCCACACAAAAGCTCCATTATATTTCCTTATGGATGCTGTGCATGGAAGGGAAAGTCCCCGCGCAAACCCATGTGCGTCCACAATAATAATGGAATGTTTTCTCTGTGTACCTAGCATGCGTTCATATTTCCAAAATTTCCTTATTGTCTTGTTTTTTACTCTGATGGAAGATGAAACTCAGGACATTTTGAGCTGTGCATTGTAAAGCCGAAAACACTTCCTTCCTTGATCTGGTTCACCAAACTAGGCTCCGTTCCAGACCAGGAAGTAAGAGTTCCTTTTCTTTAAAAGCATAGAAAACGTTGCTGCCAACAACTGAAAGCAAGAGTTTGATTGACATTTCTGAACAAAGTGAAGACGGACTAAGATGACACTGTTTACAGGGAAGAGGAAAGACTGAAACCACTTAAAAGTTGGCAAAGTTGCCATAATGTCATCATATCTAATGTTATATGTCAACATTGAAACACAAAAAAACAATGTTGTGAGCCGGAAACACATATATGGATGTTTTGTAGTGTACATAGACAATTATCACGTAGTGTTGATGCAGATTAGTTGAGAGTGCTTAGTGAAGCACTGCTGGATACTGATGCAGCCACCTTCTGATTTGGCTTGTAATAACAACGCAGTACGACTGTTGTGAGAGATTTAATGAAGAGCTATGTAGTTTTATTTGACTACCATTTTGCTACCACACAAAAATTTTCTTGCATAATTTCCCCGTCTGAATTTGCACCAATGGAAGTCAAGGGTATTAATAGGGAGTTTGTGCACACATTTGCTGCAGTAACAGCCTCTACTCTTCTGTGGAGGCTTTACACTAGATGTTGGAACATTGCTCTGAGAAACAAGAGCATTGGTGAGGTCAAGTACTGATGTTGGATGATTAGTTCTGGATCACTTCATCTCATCCCCACAGGTATCAGACGAAGCTCCATCACTCAGAGAACACAGATCTACTGTTCCACAGCCCAACGCCGGTAGGCTTTATACCCCTCTTGCTGACGCTTGCCATTGGAAATGGTAGCCTTAGGTTCATGTATGGCTGCTGCAGAGTGTCCCATGTAGATTATGTATGTAGATTATACTAACCGAACGCCTGTGTCAGCAATGGATACACAAAAGTAGCTGAATTTACTCACTGGAGGGAGTCTTGAACACACTGGGCCTGATTCATAAAACGTGTTGCCAGATTTAATGTGATAAGAGCACACTTGCTTATTCATATACAACAATTTCAAGCCTGTTTTACCATTTGCAGCAGATGTGACACTACTATCCTTTTCCCTCATTTGCATGTGCCGTATTCATAACAAAACACCACCCCGCCAAAAACCACGCCTGAACCAGTGTGACGGTGAATCCTCTCTAGGAAGAATGATTTTATGCGTGTATAACTGTTCAAACCTGTGTTTGCTAGTCATGAACTGGTTAGAGGTTTTAAATTTGGCTCAAAATGAGCTAAAATTATCACGACTGAAACATTATGTAAAGTTTTTGCAGTGTTATGATTGTTTTGGTTGTGACAGAATAGAATGTTCAATCATTTATTTGAATAAAATAAACATAATTAAGGTAGAGGGTCACTCAAAGCAAAAGTCCAAGTCAGTTAAAAGTCCCAAATGTATTGTCAACTCTGACTATAAACCAATTCAGGAGATTGATCCATATATAGTATGCACAGCTAAACCTACACATCACTTTATATGAGCATTTACACTCTCAAAAGTGATCAGTGTTAAATAACAACACACTAACCTGTTTCATCCATTTTAACACTTTTTGTGTCGCATTTGTGTCTGATTTAAACCATTCTGTGTTAAAAGCAGCCCAACATGTGTCATCCATAAATGGGTATAGAAAACCTTTAACACATTTTGTGTTAAAAGTAACGCAAAATGTGTCACCTCCAGCTAAACACTGATGTGTCTAATTAGAGACAGAATGTGTTGTTTTTTAACACATGGTTTAAGAGTGTAAACAAAGCAGCGTATTAGTTGAGAAACTAGGGCAAACATAGTCAATGTCAACTGTATGGAAAGATTGGAGGTAAAAAGTTTCCCACAGCAGCATATGAAGAATTTAAGTGCAGGTGTGCAGTGGTGGTTAAGAGGTGTGTGATCAGTCTATGGTAGATCTTCAAGCATGTTGAATTCTATTGGCTTTTACTGAGGACACGTGAAAATACTGTAACAGTAAGGAGGAAGCAGTGTACTAATCATCACCACAATGACTGAAAAAGACTTTATTATGTGGTTACATGTTTTGTGTGCTGTTGCTTGGTCAACACTAAGTTTTATAAATTAAGCCCACATTGTGCCCACACACATATAGACATGTTGATAAATAAATACAAAATAAACTAAAAATAGGCAAAAAACAAGTCCGAGGCAACCACATCCGCAGATCTGCAAGTGTATCTGTTGAGAACATTGGTGCTGATATGTGTTAGCATTACCATTAGCTCTCAGCGGTTATTGCTCAAACAGGAAGCTGGTCTTTTCCTCTGAGAGGTGTGAGGTTAAAAGAAAAGGCACTCGTTATTTTTACATGAGACGTAATGGAACCAAGACAGGGAGCAGTATATTTGTTTTTTAATGTGTGCTTGTGAATGTGTGTGCAAGAATATCTGCAGCAATGCAGCAATCTGCAATGGTGTGTGTGTGTATGTGTGTGTGTGTGTGTGTGTGTGTGTGTGTGTGTGTGTGTGTGTGTGTCTGTCTGTCTGTCTGTGCAGTATGGTGCAAAAGTCAGAGGCTGCTCTTTATTATGTACTTTATTATGTACTAAGAAGACAATATACACAGAGCAGTATATACATAACTATAGTTAATATTTTGATAATAAATCAGAATATGTGCAGTTTTAATATGAATATTATGTAGTATGAATTAACAAACCTGTGTGCAGGGACAAATAAATAGGACTGGAGATAAAAGAAGTGTTGTAGTGGAAGGAGTGAGGACCAACCAAACAGCAGTGAAATTTATACAATTAAAGAATTGTAAATAATATTAATCAGTGCAGTGACATATATATCTACAGACACTGTACAGTTTACAACATACTTTCTGCTGTAAAGTTGATTAACTGTACAACTTTATTGTAGCACTACTCTAATCAGACAGAGAGAGAAACATGTATATATATATATATATATATATATATATATATATGAGGAAAAGACAGCTATTATGCTATTTTATCAGTATAAAACTTTTAATTTTGCCAAAGCACTTTATAATGCTAAATTAATTGTTTTGTTTTTTTCAATTAAAGTTTAATTTCTTCTCTTTTAAATCTATTGTTTTAAACATGTTTTAATATTTCTATTCTTCTAAGTCTTTTTGAATTTTAATTGGAAGTATCTTTGTGTTTCCTCATTTGTAAAGCACTTTAAATGACTAAAGTGAATAAAAGGTGCTATAAAGTTGCCTTGCCCTGCCTTGCCTTGCCTAAGGACTTTTATTGTGAAGAGCAGTGGGAGGGATGTGTGTGTGAGCATAGAGCTGAGAGAATCAGATATGAGCTGCTCTACACAGGTACGGTGTTGTTGTGGCAAACTTTAGCTGGAGAATAAAGCACTGTGACTCTTATTTTATATATATATATACACACACACACACACTGTTGGAACAAAACGTAAAGGTAAAAATACTTTACACTTAATGTAAGTCAGTGGAACCTGACTTTTTTCCAAGTCATTCTGGGTAATTTCTTTTGGTCCAATACTCAAGAAATGTACACACAATGTAAAAGGCAACAGGAATTTTGAAATGATGTCAAAAACTGAAAAACCAACAACAAAAAAAACAAAAAACAAAAACTGAGATACAAGGGTTTCTTCCGACAGCATTGTTTATTTATACACACACACATATATATATATATATATATATATATATATATATATATATATATATATATATATATACACGATACATATACAGTCCTATTCGAGCTGGATTGGTTTTACCAGAAGAAGTCGGAAATGTAATTTCTGTGTGACTTGATGGGCCAATTTGTGTGGGATCTGTGTAATTTTCCCATATTACCCCAAAAAGCCCAGATTACTGAAACATCATCGCGTGGATGTTTGTGTAAGCATTATGCGACAGGTACTACACTTGCTAACAATAACAACACGTTATGGGGCTAAATGGCAAATATGGGGCCATTTAGATGGGGGCAGAGACTTTACATGTCATTGCAGGATGACGTCTGTTATCAACAGCTATTCAAAAAGATGGTGCAGCAGGAAATATACACTGAATTGTTGTGGATTTCAGTAGTCTTGTCATGAACTTAGAGGTTAAGAAATTGGGTTACATCAAGGTCAATTTAGCTGTTAGCCTTATCTTCAGGTCACAAAAAGAAAGAAAATTTTCTATTACCAGATTCTATCACCAATGCGAACTGGACCACTACTGTTATTAGGACTACTGTTACTGAGGGAACTCTGAGTTTAGTGAATTGTAAAAGGCAATTCTCTTCAGAATTATTACTTAGCAGACTTGTAAAACATGGACATTGCAGGTTCACACTAAATTAAAATATTATTATTCTTATATTAATATTGTTACATACAGATACTCACACACACACACACACACACACACAAGTACATATATGTGTATAGGTAACATGTGAACATGTGAAACATGGTGGTGGTAGTGTGATGGTCTAGGGCTGACTTGAGTGTGATGGTCAAGTCCTGACTTGAGTTCATGCTTGAAAACCCTCCAATGTAGCTGAATGAAAACATGAAACACATAGATATGTGCAAATGTTTCTCACACCTGTTGGGTGATCAGTTTTTCACTATGCTAAATTAAGTGTGCTGCAGGTAGAATCTAACAAATTTGTGTGATAGCAGGGGGCATTCAGGAGAAATCTGGAACCAGACTTTGTACTTCAAACTAGTTCACAAGATGCAAACTACTGTCTTTATACTGTAAATATGTTTATTTGTATTTATTATAATGATATATAGTATTTTTACAAGAAGAAACAAACTGAAACATCCTGCCAAGACAAAAGGTTAAATAATGTGCCTAGGTGTCTGTGGCATAGTACTGTATAAATACTCTCCTCCCGTGTAATGCCTCTATTTGTCCAGTTGGAGGCAGAATAAGAGCGATATTTCTTTATCATCACACCAACAGTGTTGAGACACATGAAGAACTTGCGCAATGCCACAGAAGCGGAAAGCAGCTGCCCCACATTTTCACAGCAGTAGGAGGTTTTCCTTTTTTTTGACACCTCCACATTGATCATTTAAAGATTTTAGGTGGTGGAGGAGACGTGTAGGAAGAGGACATGATATCTAGAAGACATACAGTCTAGAAACTGTGTCAATGTCTGTGAAGAGTCAGAGTAGTGTGGAAGTTTGAATGGTGCGTCCACTCAGAGATGAAGATTCATGAACACATAACCGTCTTCCTCACCCTTTTACTCACAATCAGAGGTAAGCACAGGATTATTTTGTATGTATGTATATTTTTATATACTTTGCCGCTGTCCAAAGAATAACAAGTAAAAAGAAGTATCTTAAAAATTGTAACTTTACAGGAGAGGGCAAAAACCTTCTTTACTTTCAATGTAAGTTGATGTGAATAGATTTTATCTATTGATTTAATCTATTTATCTATTTGATCTATTGGTCAAATCATCATCAAATTGTCACACAGTGTAAAGGACAGCCGCTGAGCTCAAGTTATGCAGAAAACAAAAATCGCAAAAAAAAATTTAATTTTTTTTTGGGACAGCGACAACATATATATTATATAAAGACACATTAGAAAATTAACAAAGGATGTCATTTGACTGAAAATATGTCTGCATTAACTGCATTTGTGGCTGCATTTTGTGTTGAGGTAATATCCATATATGCCAGTCTGCTTGAATAGAAAAGTGTGGCTTAAATATTTAATAAAAAGTTCCTACTATTTACTCATAGAAACTTATTAATATTGATGAATGAGGCCAAGTAAGCTCCATAGTTATTGGCACCCTTGGAGAAGATGGGGAAAAGGCTTATAAAAATACCTTTGTGGTTAATTAGCTCAATTTAACATGAAAATATAAGAAATTTAAGCTTTAATTAATGTAAATGTAGTCACAGAAAACAAAAACTCATATTACAAAATTATTCTTAATGGCTGTGTCAAAAGCTTGACTGTGTGGCCACTGAACCATTTTATGCAGATTTAGACATGTATTTTGGATCATTGTCCTGCTGGAAGATCTAACTTCAGCACAGTTTTAGCTTTTTGGCAGCGGCAGATAGATTTTCCTTTCAAATTCACCTGGTACTTTATGGAGTCCACATTCTCACAAGGTTCTCAGGGCCTTTGGAAGAAAAACAGACCCAAAACATCACAGACCCTCCACCATACTTAACAGTGACGGACAAAGATCTTTTCTGAAGTTTCCGTCTTTTTATGTTTAACCCACCTTGAGTGTTGGTTGCTCTTCTGAAAAACTGGTTTCAGTCAGAGTTCCAGAGTTCCAGTAACATCTAGTAAACTTCAGGTGCTGACTTTTGTAGTTAAATCAAAGAAAAGGCTTTTTTTGGGCACACATTCTGAATAAATTGCTGGCATGGACGTGGCATCTTAATGGTATTTTGATGACTTGGTGACTCCAAATTCCTACTATCTTCTGCAAATCTCCAAATGTGTTAAATTCTTTTTGTCTTGTATCATTAGTGTGTTCTTTTGTGTCTTCACCACGTTGATGAATGATGAAGGGAATTTGTCCTCTGTGTCACCTCATATTTATACCCCATTGAAGCAAAATATCATTGTTAAGCATATAAGAAGGGTACCAGTAATCATGCCAAAAATATTTTTAAGAAGAGTTTTTGTTTTCTTAGACTAAATTTACTTCAATACCCCCTTTTAATGGTCAGAGCCCACTGGCAGGCCCAAATCACACACTTCTATACCCTAAGAATAGCTCAGCTAGTTTGTATTGAAGTCTCTGTAGCCACTGAATAATAAGCTGTAGTATGTATAAGCATGAGACTAATGAAGCATGAGCTAATGAAGTACAGAAATTTTTAATTATGGACAAGAATATGCCACTGATTTTAAAAATGACAGTATATGACATGACAATATAGTACTAGACAATGCAATGTGACAATATAGCACTTCCTTGCAAAGCTGCTTTGTGACAACACATTGTAAAAAGCGCTATATAAATAAACTTTACTTACTTACTTACTATATATTAAAGACAGAAACTGGCTAAAAATGTTGGCATTTATGCAGTTAGCGGTAGTGAACGTGAGAAAAAGTTTGATACTACTCTGTATTAGAATAGAAGTGGTTAAAGACGTTTTAACAGGATGTGGTTAAACTAACTCTATCACTGTTAGTTTATATATCTATATCCAATAGAATGGGACACTCTGGAGCACGAAGTATTCATGAGCCTAAGGTCACCATGCCCAATATAAAGTGTCAGCTAGAGGGGAGTAAAGCTCACCAGCTCTGAGCTGAGGAGCAGTGGAACTGCTCTCTGGAGTGATTGTGCTCCATCTAATACCTTCAGATGGGTTGGAGTGCTGTTTATGAACGAATCACCAATCATCAGTACCAGACCTTGTATGAAGTCTACCCAGAAGAGTGGAGGCTGTTACTACAGCAAAGAAGGGGCAAACTCCATATTAATTCCCTTGATATGAGAAACAGGTGTTTACAAACATTTAGACATTTAGTGCACTAGTGGCCATTTATTAACCCCTTTATGAGCTCCACCTAACTCATAGGTTCACTATATAGGTGTAAAATCACAGAGTCTGGCCCAGCTGTTTCCAAGCACTATATATCAGCCCTCCTATTCCATTCATCATTGCTCAGGAACATTGCTGGCCAGATATTTTTCTGGGTGGTGGACCAACAAAGCTGTATCACTGAACTGGTAGTGTGGAGGTTCTTAATGTAGTAGGTAAACATAGTTAAAGTGTCAAAAGCTTGACTGTGTGGCCACTGAACCATTTTATGCAGATTTAGACGTGTGTTTTGGATCATTGTCCTGCTGGAAGATCCAACTTCAGCTCAGTTTTAGCTTTTTGGCAGCGGCAGATAGATTTTCCTTTCAAATTCACCTGGTACTTTATGCAGTCCACATTCTCACAAGGTTCTCAGGGCCTTTGGAGGAAAAACAGATCCAAAACAACACAGACCTTCCACCATACTTAACAGTGATGGACGAAGATCTTTTCTGAAGTTTCCGTCTTTTTATGCCTTGAGTATTTGTTGCCAAAAACTCTTTTTTTGTGGTAGTGCGGAGGTTCTTAATGTAGTAGGGAATCATAGTTAAAGTTTCAAAAGGTAATATTCCCTCACCATATAGTCCAGCCTATATAGATCAGCCTATGGCAGTTTAGCCCCACCCTTCTCTTTCAAGTTATAAGGAGTGTTATAAGGACTGCTTTTTGGATGAGGCACTGTACATAGTAGCAAATTACAAGAGAGATCATTTACATATATCAGTCTTAAAGTCACAATAACAAAAACAGCCTCTTAAATTCTTAGAGAGTTTAGAAAATGGTTTTGTAAAAATGAATCATGACTGTTTTTTCTTTCTTTTTGTTTTACATAAAACCACAAAAATACTGTAGGTGTAGTGAAGGTTGAGTTGGATATATGGTCTGTGGGCTCCCAAGGACTGGGCACTGGTGTTGCTCAGGTTTTTACAGGCACCAGTGTCACTGCTAGATTGAGAGTGGTGCAACACCCAAAACAATACAGCCAAAAGGGGCTCTGTGGTAGAAAACTGACCATTGGTTAAGGGTTAGAGGATGGCAAACAGATGAACAGAAGAAGTTGGACCAACAAGGAAAGGATTTCTAATAAATTAGCATTGTGTATGACTACATCTTTGAAACTCATTAATATACCCTTGATTTTCTCTTTAAAGGTATGACAGGCACCGATGCCATCTTGGAGGGAGAGACCTTTAACTTTAATCTGCCGGATGTGCCACATGGATCTAATATCACCTCAATTGAATGGAGACACAAAAAGGACAAGAGCACATTGCTGGCTATTATTAACGCAGACAGTGGTGAAATTCAGAAATTTGCTCAGAGGAGTAGACTTGAATTCCTGAAGAACGGATCAATCTACATCAGAGATGTCCAGCAAGAAGATGCTGGGAACTACACATGCAAGATAGTGTTTGAAAGTGGTAGAACAGAAACGTACGAGGTGTCCTTGACCCTGTATTCAGGTAAGTTTTACTCTCCTACCACTTGCTTACTTTCCAAAAGATTTCCAAACTTATCTGCTGTCATGTTTAAAGAAAGGTTTGAAGAAGAAACACAGGTTCTCTGTCCATGGCATGGATGGACCATGTATGTGTCACTTCCTTAAACTATTTCCAGTTAGTTTTGTAGTTCCTGTCCTAGCAGAGTTTTTCTCTGTTCCAGGAAAGTATCAGCAGTAATCAGTAAAAGCAAGTACACAGTTTCTTTACTGTGCTAACTGACCACTCTGGTCAGGATCCATCCTAAAGCTGGCAGTTTCACTTCACTGGGGGAACTTTCAGATCTTTTAAAGAGTGCTTCTGTAATTGTGTCTTCCATTCATGCCTGTGGGAAATATCACTGATGCATTAAATACTATTTTATTTAACCACTCTTATTGAAATATTGATCAATATATAATCAGTACTATAACAGGTCAGTAGGAGAGGTTAGTCAGCAACTGGAAGATTCCTGGTTGTCCTCTTGGGTGAGACACTTAACCCTCCCACTGCCCCAGGTGGCATGGCTCTGCTGTTGGCTCTGGGCTGCATAGTTATGTAGCAGAATGACCAATTTGCATTAATTACATTAATTAATTCACTCTTGACCGAGACCTAGCTTTACTCAGACAGCTGGCAAAGGTTTAAAGGTATTTTTGTACAAACCTGATCATTCTTTCAAGACACAATCATGTTATTTTGTAATCATATAAAGCCAGCTGCATTATTATTTATATTTTTTAAATTAGCAAAACCATTAGCCTTTTTCATTTTTTGAGTAATAAAAAGGAAATGAAAAAAAAAAAATCTTTGTGCTAATTTAGCTCATACTCACTGAAATCTTGAGAGAAATCTAACCCTGAAGTACATTTAGTGTATGAAAACTAAAACCATTATAAGAAAATTAATAAAATCCAAATGTGTAGCAATTATTCTCACCCCCTAGAAATTCTAATGAGCAAATTGGAACTGAGAAATGTTCCCATCAATATTTCTCTTCCATCTGAGTGTTAATGAGCTCTTAAGTGGTCATCCATGACCATGAGGCCAAATTTCCAATGGCTATAAAAAATAGCGACCTGCCTAAAAGGCCCATATCAACTGTTAGGGCAACATTTAAGAAGTTTAAAACAACCAGAGCTGCATCACCTGCATGCCAACAAACTTTTTGATAGACATTTTCCTTCATTTCATCGCAAATATAATTGTCCCCTAGACACTTCTGGAACTTTGAGTGATGGTCAAAGATGAAAATAAAGCTTTATGGCAAAAAACACTCAATTAGAGTTTGACATAGTAAAAAGATGATTATTCAGAAAACAAACTCCTCACTTTCAAGTGTGGTGGAGGGTCTGTGATGTTTTTTGCCTGTTTTCCAAGGATTTTTTGCTGACAAACTAGCTGACTCTACCGAAAGCTAAAGCTGGGTCATGGTTAGGTCTTCCAGCAGGACAATGAATGAAAACATACATCCAAATCCACACAAAAATATTTAAATTAGCACAGATTGATGGCCATCTCAGTCACATGAGCTACAGCCCTTTAAAAACCTTTGGGGTGAGTTGAAGAGAACAGTCCAAAAGAGGAGACCTAGGACCCTGGAGAATCTTGAGAGATTCTGTACTGATGAGGGGTCTCCCATTCCTTTTGTCATAGGAGAAAACGTGTTGTTCATTGGCAAAGGGAGGTGCCAATAATTGTGACAGACGGGTTTTGATAAAGGTTTTTGTTTTATTAGACAAATGTTACTTTAACTAAAGGCTAGCTCTCTCTCATATTGAGCTAATTAACTACAAATACAGTTTTCACCTATATTTACTAAGGGTGCCTGTAATTATGGAGCTGACTGTATTGTGGGATTGTGTAATAATACTTAAAATATACATTAAAATATATATTAATTAAATTGTAACAAATATGCATTATATGGTCAATACCATCCCTAATTATGGTGACACTCATTGCTAACAGATGTATAAAATCAAACAATTAGCCATGCAGTCACCACAGACAAATATTGAAAGTAGAATGGATTGTAATGAAGTGCTCAGAGACTTTAGACGTGCCAGTTTGTGAAACTTCTGTCCTACTAGATCTGCCTCGGGCAAATGTAGGTGCTATTTTTGTAAAATAGAAGCATCCAGGAGCAGCAACACCTCAGCCACGAAGCAGTAGACCACATAAACTCATAGAGTAGGGCTGTCGATTGCTGAAGCACCACCTCGCATTATTCACTACAGAATTGCAAACTGACTCTAGAAGCAACATTTGCAGCCAGGCCTTCTCATCCAAGATCAATGCCTGAGCTCACAAATGCTCCTTTGACTGAATTCAAATTCCCAAAGACACAGTTATAGTGTACTTCCTACAAACATGAAATGTATACAAAGGTTAAGCATTGTGTCCATTTAGCTGTTTTTTTTTTTCCTACAGAAACATCACAAAGTCCAAGTTATAACTCCACACGTGCAACATTAGGTAACTCTTTTTAATCAACATGGCAAATACAGTAATAAGAAACACACTGTATTTTCACAAATTGACCACTGTATGAGATCCCCTTACTTTGGAGTTACTGTGTACAATTATACATTGTAGCTCATCTGTTGATTCACAAATTATCAGCCCTCTTCCTTTCCATACATCATTGGTCAGTTTCTGTCTATGGCAATCGACCATATATTATTTGGGTGGTGAATCATTCTCAGCACAGCAGTGGTACTATAAAGAAGGGATGTGCATTAATTAATGGATTTTTGGTTAAATGTAGAAAGGTAGGCCAATTGTTTTAGATGATAACAGCAGTAAAAAGAGGCTAAAAATTCAGTGGCTTAAATTTAGCAGCATGCTGAAGAATGCATTAAAAACCATTTAATTATTCAAAAATAGTTCATGGAAATGAACAAAAAATCATGTTGGATTGAGAATAAGCTAACGTGGCCAGCAATGTTCCTGAGCAATGATGAATGGAATAGGAGGGCTGATATATAGTGCTTGGAAACAGCTGGGCCAGAGTCTGTGATAGGATATATTATTTCCTACACAAGGTCTTTTCTCCTCAGTGAATGATGTGCTACCATTAGTTTGTCAGAGAAATATATTCCCACTGTTTCTAGATCTAGGGAACATCATCTAGAGCAGTCCACACTATCTGGACTGTCTCTGTTGCATCCTTAACAATGCATCGTTAGTAATGTTTGCCAATCATGGTAGCAAAATGTAATATAATTAATATATTGAGGGAAACTATGGCTATTGGAGCTAAGCTTCCAATTCAAGCCATGAATATCAAAACTGAAAAAAAAAAAACACCTCTACAATAATGCTAATTTGTGCTAGCATACCTATGGGATACTACTACTTTTTAGCGTTATGCTAACAATGATTCACATAAACCTTTTTTGGCCATTCTAGATTAAACAGACTTTTAAAGCTTCTGAAAGATATTCCATGTTTTACTTGAAGCTTATGACAGATCTGTTAGCATAACCATTTTCTAGAAGGCCTAGAGTGAGGTTTTTTTCTCGTGAAATTGGTCCCGCCTACTGGAAATCAAAACTTGATTGGTTGATTCCTCTGTCACTTCTTAAAAGTGTTTTTTTTAATGTAATGCATTAGGCCTTCTCTTCAGGTCTTGAAGTTCTAACCAATAGAGGGACTCAATTAGCCATGCATGTACCTAGATACCATGGAGGAAAATAATTCCTGATTGCCCAATTAATTGAGTGTTTCTGGAATTTTACCCTTTTGTTTCCATTCAAAACATAACAATAAAACAAGAGTAGTAGTACAATAAGGAGTAGTACTACTAATATTCAGAGTTACAAGCATTTTCTATTTAATAAAAATGAACCAAAATTAATAGCATGCCCTTTTTAGTCCCCAGAAATCATTAGACCTGTACTAAATGCCTTTCTAGGTTTTCTCCATCTTCCCATGAGTAACACAACAAATGCCCAAATAGAGATTTCAGTTTTCAAATACTGCCCAGCAGGCACTGGATGTCAATTTGACATTATAAAGATGTTGGACTTTAATGTCAGACACACATTGAATTTTTCTAAAAATGAAAACCAGGTTGACATCAAAACTCAAAATAAACATCACAGGGTTGACATCAATCTCCAATGTTAGACAGGGGCAATGGGCAACCATAGCTGTGGTGCCTGGGGAGCATTTGGGTGTTTAGCTCAAGGGCACTTTAGAAGGAGTCAGGAATTGAACTGCCAACCCAACGATTAACAGGCAACCCACTCTACCACCTGAGCCGTGGCTGCCCCAACCAAACCCACTGGTCATGGAGTCAGTCGTAAAAAAGCTATAGAGGAACAGCCATGAAAACGTTCAGAACTTAATCAGACATTAATATTTTCGAAAACACAGGCTTTTTCTCCATTTTAAAAACCTCTTGGTCTCCACGAAAACAAATAATAAAAATGTGCTCTCACTTGCTTTAGTTTTAGCCGCTTCACTTTTTCTAGCTTCTACAAATTGGACATGTCCAGCAGGGTGATGGTGTTTTAAGTGTGTGATTAAGTTTGTTGTTCTGAATGTTTTCGTGGTTGTTCCTCCATGGCTTATTCATGACAAATACAGGCGGCAGAGTGGGTTGTCCACCCATTGCAGGGTTGGCAGCTCAGTTCCAGACTCCTCTGTACAACACTGGAGGCACAGCGTTTTGACGTCAACTCGATTTTCATTTTCAACTAAAATTCAATGTCTGTCCGACGTTAAAGCCCAGCGTCTTCTTGAAGTCAAAATGATGTCCAGTTCCTGCTGGGTGGCACTTGAACAGTTAACCAAGTGCTCAAAAGCCTGTGCAGACGTCTAACATCAACATCTACTTATAAACACATGAGGGGAACATTGTGGTTCTGTCTAATAAGGCAAGATGAGTCATAGGACTGTGGCTAATCATGCCTTACACAAGCTATCCTCGAAAAAACTACCATGCTCTTTTATACCAGCAAGTGTGCACTTCAGACAGTTTGACTACATAAGCAGGGTTAATGCCTGAGGACCATTTGCGCTGTAAGAATTTGGCCCCCAAGTCTATCTAATGACCCCTTGCCTACTGTTTCTAACTCTATACCAGCAAGGCAGAACTACAAGGGAAGGGATTCTAATAAAGTGGCCAATGAGTGTATTCATAATTTATTGATTGAGTATCTACACTGGAAATGAAATGGGTCTCTCGTGCCCATTTCTAAACACCTCTGCAGGTTATTTAACACATCTCTACCTTTCTCTTTCCCCAAGGTAATCAACCTGCTAGTATACTCAAGATTGCCATACCAGTGACTTGTGGGGTCTTAGGTTTGGTTCTGCTTGGTGGTGTAATACTAATCATCTTCAAGTGCAGAAAGAAACGCAGCATTTCAGGTTAGTCTGATAACAGTTCTTGCACATTGGGCTATCATTTATTGTATTGCTGACCACTCAATCACATGTAAACTATGTATCACACTAATACAGTTGACAATGTACAAACATAGAACAGGTGCAATAGTTTGCTTACATATATACATGTAAAAATGTAAAAAAAAAACATGACTTTGACAATTATTTCTTTTTCCAGTTGAATCTATTTATGCTAACATGCAGTATATTAAGGAACAACAACCAAAGAAGTCAAAGAGGCCAAAATGAAGGATGTGAAATAAGCCAGCTGTCCCTGCCTTATATAGATATAACTACTACATTTCATCCACATCTACTACACAGTGCAGCACCGTAGTCATAACCCAAAACAACCCCAGTGTGTGGTTTTTCTACTGCGCTGTTTTCAGCATCTGCACTTTGTTGTGCAGTTTCCAGGAAACTGTTTTAAAGGCAAGTATGGTGGGCTTTACTGCTTCAGTACTTCCGATAGTGCTAATGCCATGCTGTTTGTTGTAGTAGATGTTTTGTACATGCGCACTGTTGTTAACTTTTAACCTTGTTGTTTACTTAATAACCCTAAACTTAAACCTAACCATAAAGAGAATTTACATTGATTTTCATTTATTTCTGTATAATCCAAGACTTTCAGAGATATTTGATGTGAAATGGTTAATTGTAGAAAAATTTAGCAATTCTGATTTCTTTACAGTGGTGCTGATCAGAGGCAGGGGTCGTGATATCTACAACACAAATAAAGCCAATTTATTCACTATTCAAAACCACCAGTGAACCTACACATGTAAAGTGTACTACTACTACTAATAATAATAAATATATTTTCTGATGGGACTATTTTGCCTTACAATACTCATGCATGTGTTTTAAAAATAAATTTTAGGCCAATATGATCATAGAACAATGTCTGAGGCATCAGGCAATGTATTCGTAACTATTTAATGTAACGACTTTTTGTGAGGGATCTTTCAGAAGCAGTAAACACTTTGGATGTCTGGTTCCTATCACCACCACTGTGGGCAATTCAGAATTTTTTTGTTTCTCTAGAATAGAGCTTTTCACATCAGACCACAATGATTTTGTTTACATTTTAACAAGTTGATTAAGCACAATTTTTCTATAGGGTGCTATCAAAACTAAGTGTTACCTTTTCTTTCTATGTTCCTTTGTTCCTTTTTGCATGTACTCATATCAGTCTGCTCTATGAGTATGTATTTAAAGACAGAATACAGTTCCATTCATTGCTTACTGTTAATTTTAATTTTAATTAATTTTATCATTTGTATGTGTTTGTTTATAATCTTCACTGAGCTGTTGTACAGATAGGATCAACCAGAAAAGGGTCTGATGTTCTGTAGTGATGAAAATAAATCAAGACAAATTAATTTCCAGTACGCTACTAGTTAATCTGCCACTACCTTAAGTTGGCATCTGTATGTTTCTAGGTCAGGGGGGTTTGAACAAGGTCTTGATCATCCAGTAGAAAACGACTGAGTCAGTTTCCTCTAAACAGATAAATGATCTCTTCTCAGAAGTCGATCTGAAGATCTGAATACTGAAACACTTTTCCAACCCTCTGCACCCAAAGTTTATTATTCCAATACCAGGTTGAAGGCCATTACAAAGGCCTTTAGCTCTAAACAGCTCTCAGTTGTTAATGATATAGGTCAAAAAGTGCCAGATGTGTTAATGCTGCTGTGGCTAGCTATCAGAAATTTCAAGTTAGCTGCTGCTGCCATGCTGCAAACACAGCATGATGATGGTAGTGCATGTGCAGCGGGAAAAAACACATTAATTCCGATCTGACCAATCTTGTTAAAGTTGCATGGCTGCAAATCAGAGGTCTATCACATGTAGGAGCACATATGCTACTTTCACACTACCAGGTTGAAATGGCACGAATTAAGATCTTTTTAGACCTGTGTGAACACTATGAAATCTAATTGTTTCAAATCAAATCTGAACCACTTTGGCTGCATCATGAACAACAAACAAACGAACTAATCGGCAGAACAAGCCTTCATTGCACAGTTTACTGGTATCTGCTTTAGGTTGGTGGTGTTGCCACGATTAACACCTTATTAATACAAAAATACATGTAATTCCAATCTGTCTGTTCTCATTAGGGTCGCATGGCCATAAGTCAGATATGTATACGATCTGGGACCATATATGAAAGTGGCTAAGATCTGATTTGAAAAGATCAGACGTATGTGTCCATACAGCTCTGAAAAAAATCAGATCTGTGTCACATTAAGCAATAAAGCAAAAATTTGTGCCACTTCAACCTGGTAATGTGAGCGTTGCCTTTCATGCTCATCTCAATAAAGGCTTGTGCTGCTAGTTCATTTATTGTTCATGACACATGCAGATCATTCAAGTAATGCTCTGGGTTAAAATGTGCACATGCAGGTCGCGTCAGGAAATATGCTTGTTCACACTAAAAACAGATACATGTCATTTGCACCCATTATGTGAACAATGAAGGCAGAAAGCTCGGATCTGTGCAAAAAATCTGAATTAAGCAATAAGGTGTGTAATATGAATGTAGCCAAAGTGGCTCAGACTTGATTTGATAAGACCAGATTTTTGCATTCACACAGCACTGATCTGTGTCACATTGGAGCAAAAAATCAGATTCATGCTACTTAAACCTGGTAGCCTTGTCGTAGCCATTTTCCTCTTTTATCATATTAAAAACTTCCCCAGAGTGGTTGGTGAGTGTGCATGCACACACTGGCTAGGTCATTCTCGCAATAGGGTGGCTTTCTGGTTTAGAAAATGCTCCAAAGAGCACTTCTTTTTAATCGCCAAATGTCTACAAAATAACTATTGTAGCGACCTGCTACTGGTTGGGAACTGGCTCTGAGGAGCTCAGGAGGCATAGCCATGCAAGCAGCCGTGTATGGAGGCTCATGGCACACGCCCTCTTAGAGATGTTAATGTAGTTGTTAATATACTTGTTTATTAACCTCAAGTGTGTATATATATTATTTGTGTTACTTTGTGTTGGGCATGGATTTGGTTGGTTTTGGGGGTTGGTCAATCATCAAGATGAAGCCTGTGGCTGGTGGTGTTCTCCCCACGAGTTCAGTGCTTTGTACATGCCTTTCTGCCCTGTTGTTTAATAAAGAGCCCTTCATGTGGTGGAATCATAGTCTCCCTTGTGTTTTATTTTATGCTGATGCTACACTATTGATATCTTGACAATACTAATCCACATAAATGACAGTTTGTTTCTTGTTAATAATTTTAAAGTATTCAATTAAAACATGCATAAACATCATTTTCTGTCATTGGTGTTACAGCCACTGTACATGCAAATTCAGCCCATGGAGAATGTAGTTTATCCTTTTAAACTGTACACAGAACATAGTTTAAAACTGGTTAATGATATTATAATGTATGAATGATGTCCATATGATGTATAATAATTAGTATAATTAATGATACTGAAATGTTAATGTATTAAACACCTATGATTTATACATTTTAATATTTATAGTGCTAAAAAATTCAGCATGTAAAACCAGTGACAAAGTGTAACACCGATGACATCACATGATTATTTCAACCACATTTTATATTTTAAAGCAGTCATAATGCCAAGTAACAGTGAATAAACATGATACACCACATCAGGACATTGAATGAATATTACTGATCCTGTTAAATCCTTATGACACATTCATCACAACGATTGGTAACAAACACTGAAACAAGTCTGTGATAACAAATATGGCCCAACATCAACACATGAATCAAACCTACAGTTTATCAAATTTGACTACTAAAAACCACCTATAGAAAGTTTGTTAATGAATAACTAGAAAAGGAACAAAAATATAACCATCATGAAAGCTGGCAAAAAATCCAATTTGCATTATACATTTTACCTTTCTGTTCATTATGTCATTATGCCAGTCTATGCCAATGTTCATAGCAATTCATAGTGCACTACTGACCACAATGTTGGTTTGATTAGAACATGTTCAGCTGGTCATTTAGGGAAACTGTGTCAACTTTTTTTTAAATTAAAATGTGAAAGAACTTCTGATAATATTGTGCCAATCAAGCAGCTCATTCTTAGCATTTTAAATTCAGATTTTTTATGTTAGATCTCAAAAAATCTACTGTCCACTGTTATTGGTGTTAAAAGCAAAATTTGTTACACCAGTGGCAGCAACACCAGTGACAATTTGGTATTGAACTTGATTTTTCCAACAGAGATTCCACAGCCTCTCAAACCATGCCTTATCAATCCCACAAATATCAACATATCATGTTCATTAACCATTTACTTAAATGATTTTTTCTCATGTGTTGAAATGAATAACACATCTAACATGCTCACCTGAAAAATAGAGACTGAATATAAGATTATAACTTTGCAAAAAGGATGAGTGGACTTAGCACATGCTCCTTGTAATAAACCATCGTACCTCTGAGCTATACCCCAGGAAGAACTTTATTTGGAATTTGAAGGTTTTTTAAATTCTAAAATGCTAACACCAGTATTATTTTCAGTGTTTGTGTGTTTATGTAACTTAAATGCAACAAATAAAAGGGCAAAAAGTACAATAAAAAGAGTTAAACATGCTTTTATTATTTCAAAACATATGAAATAGTACTAATATCGGAGTTATATGTGGACATTCAACAATTTTGTATTACATTAAAGCTGCAAAGACTGGGGACATGTTTGCCACTATATTCAGAGAATGACCTGGTTATAAAAAAATGGATAAGTATGTGGAACCTGAACTTTCTGTGTGCTGCTGTGTTTCCTATCACACTGTAGAGAGTTTCCATGCTGTCTGTGATAGTTTCTGAGTGTGCACATTCAGAACACTGTTCATTATGGAAACGCTTATTGTTGATTTGGTTCCGCAGAGCAACAATACAAGTTTACTGAAGTGTGAAGTAACTTCCTATTCTTATATTTTCTTGAATGGCCATAAATAGCTATGAGGACACTGAGCTCTGAATCTCAGAAATTTCAGAAGGGTTATTTCATGCTTCTCTATTCAGTAAATGAATAAAACAGCACCGGTCTGATGTTGCAGTAGGCGACTCTGGGATGTAGCCACAGGTATCACAGGCCTACACAAGAGGTATAGAATATTTATCATGCTACATTTTCAAGATAATAACATTTGATTGTTTTCTGTATTATGGTCAAAGAGTATCTACATCTGCCAAGCTCCACATTATTTCCTCAGCCCTCCAGTCACTGCTAGCCTCAAGCCTTTGGTCATTTCATAACTAGCGTGAGGTCATCAATAGTTTAGGAAGAGCTTCATGAGATGTAGAAACAGAGATGACTAAGCAGTCAGCAGTGACTGGTTCTCACCTGGTCTCAGAACAGCTGTGACTAAACTGCCCACTCTGTTAATCTCTGTATGAGACGCTACGCTGCCCAGAAAGGGGCCTACACACTACAGATGACGCAGCATCAGAAACACAGTCCGCCAGTGTATTTCAATTAGGATGCTGTGTTAGCTCTGTTGGACTAGAAATGTGCCTGAATGCAGAGAAAGATGCTCCGCTGAGCCTCAAAAAAGATCAAAATATTTAAACCTTTGCTGCAATGGATTATGACGTGGAGGCACATCAACCAATAGAAATGTGCAGGCAGAAGTCAGAGAATTC